TCTTGGAGTACTTCACCCGTCCGATCCGGCTCTTGATGTCTGTTCCTTGGGAGCTGGTTAGGATTCCACTGTTTGTTTTGAAGTAGCAGAGCATGAAGAGAGACTTTCAAACTTGGGTACATTTTTTTTTTCCCTCTGCTTTCTTTGCAAATGCCTCCAAGCCTTTATGAAAACAAATATTGGAGACAGGGACCTTTGTCTCTGAGGAAAACTCCCTTTGCTAAGAAGATAATGTCTGTCAGCTCTTTTTGTTTTGGAAGGGTGATGTGAGTGATAAATTATAAGGTGCTGAGCGATGACACAGTAACTCACCAAAATGTGAGTGATCCTCGTCTGCGTCAAGGTAGAGACTGCAGTTTTGTTGTATCTTGCTTCAGATGCTTGCCTGCTGCTTGTATAGGCTAGACCTTTACAGAAGTTTTACTGTAACTGTGAGTCTATGTGTGGAGCTGTGAGTGACAGCCACCGGCCATGTTGCTTATGTGGTGGTGGGAGCGGAGCTGCTTGTCATCTGTACCAGGATGATGTACATGGAACAGTAACTCATGTAGGATAGCCTTGAAAAACTGAAAGACTCGCTCTACTCTTCGCAAGAGAATAATTCATGCTTTAAAATGGTCAGGGCTTGCCAGGGAGCCTGACTCCAGAAGTGCTCAGATGTGCTCAGCCCAGTGCTGTGCATGTCCATGTGCACCAGTCCATCACCTGCACTAGAACCATCCCAAGCTATCTCCAATTGAGCTACACAAGATAAATAGTTCAACTGGCAAATTTTGGTGCTCTCTCTGATGAAGGATTTTCAGTGAATGGACATTGTTTTGCCAGTTTATTAACCATTTTGAGTTTAGGTAGATGGTTCTGTGAGTCAGCTTCAGAGTGCCAACAAATTGCTCTCTGTGACGGTAGCTTCGTATAAACCCGCTTTACACCAGCGAGTACTTTGCTCACCTGGATGCTTGGGCATCCTTTGGTAAGTTGTAATGGTGGCATTAGCATTATCATCTGTAACAACGCTGGTTTTGTTATTTGTACTGTTATGCTGTCTTTAGTTCCTGTTAATGGCTTGGGGCTTTTGCGGGCCAGACTGAACAGACTGTTGTAAGCAGTTGTCAGAGGCGTTCCTGTTTCTGTGGATGGCTCCTGCAGTTACCTGTCATTGCTGCTTTAGCATCTTCACGCTTCAAGAGCTTCTCTGTAACTTCTCAATGCATGTCATGCAAACACATCTTGGAGAGGAGGGCTTGTTTTCCAGAGAATAAAAAAAAAAAAAATTGAAAAATTGTGCATGCCATCTTGACAGCTGAGCAGGTGTGGGCAAAGGATTCTTCTAACCTGCAGCCGTCCTCCTTGCCTGGAGAGAATGCAGCCTCCTCTGGTGTCGGAAGGAAGGCTCAGTGTTTTATTTGGAAAGTCATCCTCTCACTAAAGGATCTCCTCTGAGAGCTGCCTTTCTGTCTTCCTGTTTACAGCCCTCAGCTGAAGACCAGCATACCGATAGGTTATATACTGTTTATTCAGATGACATGAATTCAAATGACATAAAGAGAAAGGGAAATTAATGGAATAAAGAAAGGTTGTGGGAAGGAAACATGAATTTTTAATGTGGTGTGCTAAAGAGGTATGAAATGGGAGTGTTAGAAAATGTTTGGTAGCATCTTTAGAAAGTCTTGCAGCCTGAAGAAACAGAAATGCAGCGATATGGTGGAAGAGGAATAACCCGGTGCTTGGAAGATGAGAGGTTTTCTCTCTGCTGCAGACCTCCTGCCGGAGCCAGTTTACCTCTTCAGGCACTGGCTGCCCGTTTGCAGAGCTGGCATTTCTTCCATGTGGAAGCTGAGGCTGGATGACAGATAGCTGTTAGCTCGAGGATCCTTTGAACTCTGCTTTCTTATCATAGACTTTATAAGACGTGGCAAGTGTGACCCACTTCTGCTCTTGCACAGCTTTGCTGCTGCACAGACCCAGCCCTTGGAGTTGCCAGGGACTGGGTCACTGAAGTCATCTGGGTTAAAACGACTGTCTTGCATCTCCCATTTTTTAAATCTTTTTTTTTTTTTGTCATTGGGTACTTTTAGTGGTCTGCTTCCCAGGATGTTCCTGTAAACCATCATGCTGGTGTTACATGGCTACTTAGCACAGCTGAAATGAGCGGTGGTTAAAAATGGAGTGAGAGTGGGCAGTGGATGGCTTCCAGTGTGGATATTCCTTAGCCCAGCCTAACGGGGAATTAAGGAGTTGCTTGCACAAAGGAGTATTTTGCTTCCCAGGGGGCTTTACTGAATTCAGCGTCTGGATTAAAGTGCTAATCAACACAAAATACTGCTTGATGCTTCGCTGTAAGAGTAACTAACCCTGTTGATAGTTGGTGTATAAGCATAATGTATGCTAATGAGGCCCTCCATTTGAAAAACAAAACTGATGATATCCTCTGTGTGTGTGTCCAGGCATTTTTAATAGGCTGGGAGGTTTCCTTTCCAACGATAGCTCATGCTTCTGTGAGATTTTCTTAAAACACAAGGGTTTTTTAGCTCTTCAGTGGTTTCTTTTCCCCTGTGCATTAGCCATTTTTTCAGTTCTTGAATTTTGATCAAGGCCTGGAGGGTACTTTTAGCTGACTTTGGCTTGTTAGTTCACTTGCTTTCGGACTAAGTGTTGTTTTTCTCTCCTTAGAGATTAAATGCCAAGATTATGTCATTCCTACTTGTATCTAATAATAGCTTAATCCACGAATAATTGTAATGAAGTCACTTGGGACTCTGGCAGAGAATAGTTTGATCCAAAGACCACTGAAATGAATGGGATTCTTCACTGAGACCGAAGCAAAGCTTTGGATCAAGCCCTAGGGTGCAACTCCACGTATGTGTGCATGCACATGCGCCTGTGCGACAGTGTTGGGCTGTGCTATGGAAAGCAAATTTCATGAAATTCCCTGCCAGCTCTCCCAGCTGAATGCTGGTGAATAAAAGAAGATGCCGGGCAGAGAGACAGGAGATGTGTTAGCAGCCCCCAAGGTAGCAGAGCAGTTGCCATAACAGCCAGCAACAGATGTTACCCAGGCCCGTATTGCTGCTGCTGGAATTAAGGTAGGAATGTAGGTCTCCCAGCTGCCAAGTGCATCTTTTGTGTGGCCAAGGTGTCAGTCGCAGTTCTGGAGCAGGCAGGGGACTGATGAAAATGTAAGCAATAGCAGTAACAGCAGGCAGGATTGCTGATTTGGTGGAGAAATTACCCAGCTGTGCCACTGTGCTCTTGTAATCGCATTAGAAAAGTCAAACTAATAAGCATGATATGAGGCCCCCTCTGTAGGGTATACGTCACGTAAGCGTGTGAAGTCTGTGCCTGGTGAGATCCTCAGGGGAAGAGCCGGTAGGTGCGTTGTCCGGGCTGTGGGTGAGTCTGTGCAGTGCCTGCCAGTGCTGCTAACTATTTTCTGTATGCACTCAAAGCAGCTTACTCTACAGAAACAAAGGCAAGAAATAATGCCAATGCATTTGCTGCTTTTAAAGGACAAATTTCAAGGATTTAGCTTTTCTGGCAAATGCTTTCATTAAAATGATGGTGTCTTTTGCCAGATCACTGAGCAATTAAACCCTAATCAAGCCCAGAAGAAAGTATTTCCATGGAATGTTTTCAGGGCAATTCCTGATTGAGGTTGTGAGGAGGAGTATTCTTTACAAAGATCTCATTAACAGACATTATAAGGCTGCTTATGTCCCCATGGGAATTGATAACAAAACTCTCATGGCCTTCAGTAGAAATCAAAGGCTTTTGATGCAAGGTAAATATAGTTTTGGGTGCAAATATAGTAAAGTTATACATATTAGCTTAAAAGCAGCTTCTCTGGAAACCCTATTGGAAATTCTTAGTTTTCCTAATGTGCAAGAGAAATCCACTTTCTGTAGATATTTTTAGCGCTAACTTCCTCTCGTGTGCTATTATCTTACACTCTCTACCATTAGCGCTTGCTGTGTTTCCAGGTCAGTCGTGTGATCGTTAAGCATCCCCGCCTGCTTTTTGAATGACTTCTCAGGCAGGAGCAGGAAAGGCAAGTTGTTACTGCTGACTGCTGGCAGCTGCTTCTCCCTGCCTGGATCCCGATTGATAAAACACTAAAACACTTTCCTCTTACCCTTCTTGGAAGGTCATTGGCGTTTGGTTCAGTGTGAGACGGTGTCAGCAGAGACCCTTCTCAACACAAGCCTCCTATGTAGATGTAAAAATGTATTACTCTGCAGAAGGCACGCATGTGTGGGAACACACAACAACTGCGCTATTGAAAGGCGTTTCAGAGCCACACACTGCTGTTTCTCATTGAGCCACGGCTATTTTAGCATGAGCTGGATGAAGCAGTCCAGAATTCTACAGTTTTTTTACCACTTGTTATATTTACAACTCAAATGAGCTTGCTGTGCTTCAGAAAATTGCAAGAAGTGAAAAGATTACGACCCAAATCCCTCAGTGAACTTAAATATGTCTCTCTTTTTTGTGGCAAAACACCCTAAGGCAAAGTATTTTAAAAACAGCAGTGCTGATAACTTTCCAGATGTTTGCTATTTTGCTACATATGACTTTTTAAAAAAGGTATTTAAACCGATCCTGCCAGTTGTTGTGGATGCCTCTGTGTGTGTGTGTTTAATGAACAGCTGGCTCTTTTGAACTGGGGATTTTAATACTTTCAGTTCCATGAAACTGGAATCGGAGGAGGCGGCTGATTGTACAAGAGGGGGAGCACATTTTCTCATGTGAATTCAGAAGCAGAGAGGGAGGGAGAGAGAAAAAAGCATTGTAATATTGCGTGTGTTTCAGTTTGAGTGGATCAAATCTTTCCTCTATCTGCATCCAAGCTACTTGGTTGTGATCAGATGATCAGAGCTCAAGGAAGCGATTGGAGAGCGAGCTGGCTGCAGCTGCACTGTAGGCTGTTTTCAGGGACAAGGAGCCACTGTTTTTCAAACACAGCATAAACATAGAAGTTATTTTGTAGGCTTCAGGATGCAGATATGGGTTGTGCTGCCAGCATTGTTCTGCTCCAAGCCTTTCGTTCTGTGGTACAGAGGAACTGTCCACATATCTGCAGGCGACGACGACGAGAGGAGTTGTCACATGAAATTCTGCCGCTGGATAGTGATGATGAAATGAGCAGACCAAGGACTCTCATCATAATGGTATGGTATACTTTAATTGGCAGAGAGAGGTGACAGAATTGTTATTGCAGATGTTACTTTTTTTTTTTTTCTCATTTAATAAGTATTCGTAGAGAAAGAGCATTGACAGGCTATTTGTCACTGTAGGTTAGTTTGCTGGTAGATTTGTAGTTTCTGTTGTCAGTCAGAGCTGAAATGTTACTTTATAGGTGAAGCTGTGAGCTACACATAAGCTTTATATAAGGTAAATGTTCTGTTGTTTATTTGTTCGTGGGTTTTGTTGCTATTTGTGAGATAGGCAGCACTGGAGCTGGTAGTGTGGTTATGTTTTATTTCAGACTTAGAATTCCAAACAGCAGACAGCTTAGGAAGTGTTTACTAAGTCTGTTCATTGTAAAAACAAAAACAAACCCAAAAGCCAAACAAAACAAAACAAAAAACCCTTTACTTTCACCCAGGATGCAGTTGGAATTTATATCAAGTTATATGCAAATAAAATCCCATATATCTTTGCTGTAAACTGTTTGCAGCAGTAAAATGTTTGCTGGATCACCGTTTTCCGGTTTAGTGAGTCGCCTCCGTTCTTTAATGAAGGGGGGCTTGAAAGGCTCTCAGTCTTTGAGAGTAATTTTCTTTCTGAATTAAATTGGATTATTTTTATTTTGTGGTGGGGGATATAATAAGTACTATAGGTTTATTAGTAATAGGTGATAGGCTTGTTCATGATTATAAATCACTTTCAGACTGAAGAATACACTTACTGCTTAGTTACTGCTCTTTCTTGCCAAATACACGTATGGTGAGCGTTTCCAGAACCCCAGAGTGGTTTGGGTCTGAGGTGGCAACGATTTGGTAGTGTGTGGCTCTCACTTGATAAAAATGTTACCAAGGCACTGCAAATAATATTTTTGCCAGTTTGTCAGGGCACTCATGGATATCATTTGAGTGGTAGAGGTCTTTTTTTTTTTTTAATATAAAGTATGTTATGAAGTCCAAAGTGTATCTCCCTGATACCCCACTGTCACAGAGGGCAGTAACTTAGTTGTAAGTGGGTGATGGTAACATCAGAGAATTTAGTAGCTGTTATGAGATCTAGCAGTGATTTGAGTAGACCGTTGCTGCCCATAGAGATGTGTGTGGTGCAGTCATGGCAACTATGGTAGCTAGGACCGAATCCAAGCTGTGCTTTATGTATCAGCTGAGGGTATTACCCAGTGCATGGGGGAGGCTAATGGTCATAACAAGGAAGGGGATGGATTTCATCATCGTGAAGCTGATGTTTAAGCTCTTTTTGCTTTAAAATCCAGTATCTATAAACCAAACTCTTTTATTTTTCTTTCTTTTTTTCCACTTAATGGTTAAATAAATGACCTAAACAGCATTTAAACAAATAACTGCCTCCTTCCTGGTAGTAATTTCAAGCATAACAAAGGGAGAATGGTCTGGAAGAAATTGCAGCATGTCTGAGTGGATCATCTGTGCAACTTGCTTCAGTCCTTGGAAGAAAAGGGTAGCCTTGGGTGTTGTGGCAGCAAACCATGTACCAACCTCCCCATACCCCGATGCAGTTGTCAGCAGCTTGAGTTGCAGTTCTTTTGTGCAGTAAATCCTGGGAGAGTGGGCCTCCAAGAGCTACGGCAAAGGTCCCTGGGCTGTCAGAGAAGCGAGGCTTTACCGCAGCCTGGAGGGAGCTGTGGAAGCTGTCCACCTCCCCGCAGAGCTGGGGGTACCCAAAGGAGAGGCACGCTGGTCAGACAGTCAGATGGACTGTTACCTGCTGCTGGACGTGGGCTTTCAGGGATCCTCTCCTGGTCTCAAACACATCCACCCGTCATAGTAACAGGGGCTTTATGTTTTCTACAGCACCAGTTAATGCACTGGTGTTTGTCCTGTTGAAAGACTGCCCTTCCCCAGGAGACCTGTGGGATCATTTTCTCCCCCTCAGTCCCTTCAAGAGGAGGAGGATGAGTGGTTCAGCCCTGCCATGAGGCTGGTGTAGGTGCAGGCAGGTGCTTCAGAGGAAAGCTGCTGGACAGGGGACAACTCGGGGAAAATGGTCTTCCCTCGCACATCCATCTTTCTCTTCTGGATGTTTATTATTACTGTGCCTTTTCGTTTAGAAGTAGTTAATTATGTGACTGTCTAAAATAGTTTGCCATTGAGCTTTGCAGTTAGGCTTAGTAATGATGGGGAGACCTGGTGACTTGAGAAGAAAGTGCTGCTTCAGAGCACTTCTGTAGCAGAAATGGATGGTCCCGTTTCCACCAGAATTCATGTTACTTGACAGAGCAGCATGATAAAGAGGGCTGGAGGCTACTGGGCTTTAGTAAAACATGTTATGGTCCTAACAGATTATGTTTTTTTCCCCTTGGTCTGGTGTAGGTCATTGAAGTTTATGTCGGGATAATACAGTGGAGACAACTATGCGGACAAGCAAAAGAGCGTTCAGTTCACAATGTCATTATGCACGGTGTGCAGATGCCAGGAGCTAAACTGATCGCAACGAGATCACCGAGTTTTCATGTCTGAGAGCAGTGAGTGATTGGGGTGCCCAAGGAAGAGAGGCAAGGAAATCCCAAAATGCAGAATGTCTGAAATATACTGACATGCCTGGGTGCGATTGCTGGAGGCTGTCGGCTCCTGTCAGCGGAAGATCGGGCATTTTATCTTTTCATGCCTTCAGATGAAATTGTCCTCCTCTTTGTAACTCGCGTGCCACTGGCTACATGCTCCCTAATGATAGTGTTAGTATTTGGTATTGATTTCAGGAGTTAAACTGTGCCTTCTTTTTGAATGGCTCTTTAAAGTCCAAAGGCTCTGCTGCATGTTCTTGCAAGTTTGTCTGTCCTGTGTGAAGCAGAAGTAAAATCTCAATGTTGCCTTGACACGGAAAGCAATCCTGAGGCAGAGAGAACAGCAGTCTACTCTAACTTACTTCCAGTAAGTATACAGCTCTATAGATGTGCCCCATTTTCCTTTGTTAATCCCTGAAGGGGAACATCTTTTTAGGATACTCTTTTAGGAATTGTGCCTTTGCCAGTGGCACTCCACGTAGGAGATGCTGTGGGTGCGCTCCATGAGAGAAGAAAGGGAGAAGGCCCTAGTACAGCCGCAAGCTATTGCTTAAAGACCACCTACTAATCACTGTATGAAACCTTTAGGCATCACAGCAGGTATTTCGAGCATTCTAGTCCTTGCAGAAAGTGAAGATTGGTATCTTTATTCACAGAATTTTTTTTCCTCTTCCATTTGTTAGTTTAGAAATCTGCTTTTGTCCTTGGGCAAGACAGATTAATAATCAGTTTTAGATCTTGGTTGGATCCACAGAGCAGGGAGAGATGTCAGAAGGAGAAAACTGGAAATTCTTTGTCAATGACTATTGTGTGTCATCTTCTCTTGGACACAATCCTGGGAGTTGCCAGAGACAAGCAAAATAAGTATCCAAACAACCTCTAACTAGATGTACAAGTTGAATCAATGTGTTCAGTGACTCTGCATTTAATAGACCATCTTGTTGTTTTCTGTACCTTTAAGAGTCTGTCTGTAAGAGTTGGTTTTCAAAGTCCATGAGAAGGTGAGGTTTGAGATATTAAAAACCTATGTAGAGTGAATGCAAATGACTGTATGTGCTGTTTCTGCAAGAAAAAGGAGAAGAGGAAGATGCCTGGAGGAAGAAAATTTAGTGCATGGGGTTACGTGGAACTGTTCGGTGTTTGGAGTGGGGGCACTAACATTTAGGATGATGCTTTTGCATTTGGAACTTGCAACTTGAAAAGAAGTTGAGCTTTATCTATTAGGTCATTCTTTGGGGTTTTTTAATGTGATTTATTAATTGTGGCAGCTGAGATTTGTGTGGAAGATAAAAGCAAAGCATGATATTTGAGGATATCATCCTCCTCTCTATCCCCCTCCCCACCCTTGGTAACCAGCTACACAAAAACGTGGTAAAATGTTTTGCATTTTGAATAAAATACTGTAACTTGAACTGACATGTTGGCTTGAACACAGCAACAGCAAGGTGACAATACTGCTCTCTTTATTCAGGTTTTCATCTCTGAAAGAGGCAGCTTGCATAGATTTTCTCTTTCCAGTTAGAGGAGAACCTCCCCTGTTGCACAGATGCAGGATGGCCGCTTTGCTGTGGTGTACAGGCGGGGCCGGGGTGCTGCCTGAGCTGCTGCTCAGGTCACTTAGTTTGTAAATGGAATTTTAGTCTTCTAAAAGCAGTAAAACCAATAAAAGCATGGCTTTGAGAATTTTTCCTCATCTAATGCTAAAGTGTACCTCCAGAATCATGTTCCTTAAGTTTTGTTGCATGATCTGTGTTAATTCTATGTTTCTTGTTGAAATAATTCAGTACGCTCCTTTCCTCATTTGTATGCATTTACCTACTGAAAATTTGTACCATCGGCATACTAAGTGCTATCAACAGATGGCAGCTCTAACAATTGCAAGATCTCAGACTCATGACTTACTGGTTTTGTAGGTGAGAATGTGTGTGTACCCAAATGGGGAGGACTTGCAGTGGCTTTTGAAGGTCAGCGTGAGTCTCAACTCTGGGAAGAGAAGGGTTTTCTCTTCTTCCAGTGTTTTGGAGGAGGGATCGTCTTTGGAAAGCCAGACTACCCAGGGCTGTAAAGTTCAAAAGAAATATTCAAAATATTCATATCTTTTAGCTCAAGTCAGAAGCTTCAATGTGTAATACGTTTTCAAGCAACAATAAACATATGTAGCTTTATTTGACCTTAATCAACTTCCACTTTGGCACTTGACCTCAGCGGGAACAGAAACAGGCCTACGTTTGAGTAAATGAATAACATTAGAGTGTAAAGAGGAAAAGGAGTAAACGATCCACAAAATGCAGTTCTGCTTCAGAGCCATTTTTGCAACTGTTCTTGTTACCCGTGTGACTTCTTTGCCTTCTGTGCCTAATGCTCAACAGGCCTGCTGGTAACTGGGGTCAGCAGAGCAGTGGAGGAGGGACGGTGTCCATCTCTCTTCTTCAGAGCAGTGTTTGTTCT